AAAAAAAAAAAGAATGAGAACTAGGGCCAGGGATTTAGCTCAGTGCTGCCGCCACCTGCCTTGCAAGCATAAGGACTCGAATTCCATCGCTGGTACCAAAAAAAAAAGGAAATAGTTTTGTTTGTTATCCTAATTTGACATTCAAAGGAGAGACATTTTAAACTAGTGTTAGAAGGAAGAAGTTTTGGCATCTTTGACTTTTAAAAAAGATCATGATTAAAATCATGATTTGAGGGCTGGGGACTTAGCTCAGTGATTCTGCCTACCTTGCAAGTGCAAGGTCCCAAGTTCAATCTCCAGTACCAAAAAAAAAAAAAAAATCATGATTTGAGGCTGGGTATGGTGGTACACACCTATAATCCCAGCACTGGAAAGGCTGAGGCAGGAGGACGACCTTTGAATTCGAGGTGAGTTCAAGGCCAGGCTGAACTACACAGCGAAACCCTGTCTCAAAATAACAAAAAACAAACCAAAAAAAATCATCATTTGTTATCTGCTAAAGTTAATGAGACAAAACAAAATTAAAACAGCATTTAAAAGGATTTTTAAAATTATTTATTTACTTATTTTTTGATACTGGGGATCAAACGCAGGACCTTGTGCTTTCGAGGCAGCTGCGGTAGAACCATTGAGCTAATACCCTGGCCCCAAAGGAATTTTTTTTTAATGGAAATAAGTCATGTATTCATTTATTTATTAAACAACACCCCACTCCCATTTGCCCCATACAGCTGATCAAAGAAGTGGCCACTGAGTTACAACCCCAGTGCTGCCCCCTTTTTTTCATTTTTTATTGGGAGACAGGGTCTCACTAAATTGCCCAGGCTGGATTCAAAGTTGCAATCCTCCTGCCTCAGGTTCTCTAGTAGCTAGGATTACAGGTGGGCACCACCTTGTCTAGTTTACTCATCAAAATGTGAGTGCAAATTATATCTGTCCTGAGCCGGGTGTGGTGGTGCACACCTGTAATCCCACAGGAGACTGAGGCAGGAGGATCACTTGGAGTTGGAGACCAGCCTGGGCTACACAGTGAGTTCCAGAGCAGTCTGAACTACATAGAGAGACCCTGTCTCAAAAAACAAAAACAAAAACAAAAAAATTATATTTGTCCTTAAATTTGACTCCAGAAAATGTTTCCTCTCAGAAAATGTAACTTAAACCAGATGAGGTGGTGCACATCTGTAATCCCAGGACTCGGGAGGCTGAGCAGGAGGACCACTGCAAGTTCGAGACTAGTCTGGGCTACATAGTGAGTTCCCAGGGCAATCTGAACTACACAGTGAGACCCTGTCTCAAAAAGAAAACAAAAAACTCTAATTAAGAAAAACTGTAATGCCATACTCACCAAGATAATAGATCCTGTCTGAATGAGGCCCATCTGGATCATTCCTCTTCACAAACATAAAATCATGCGGTGCCTTGGCCATCATGTAGCCATGGTATTTTCTGGTATCGGCAAGCAACTTTTTAAGCTGACTCCAAGAATATCGCTCAACATAAAATGGCTCCAATTTGGGCCGATCCTGTGATTCAATATTCTCCTCACACTCTGCAGTTTCAAATATTTCAACACCCAGCTGCTCTGTCTCCATTGCTGCTGCCATGTTGCATTTTCCTAAAAAACAAGGCACATGAAGCTGCTCAGAGAGCTGCCTCCCAGCGTCAGAGGTTAGACTGATGGGCCAAAAAACAGAACAAAACAAAACCAAGAAAAATTCTTTCCAGCACAGCTTCAATGAGACTAGTAAGAAAGCAACCAACTCCCCCTTCTCTGTGCTGTTTAAAAATGACATTTCAGGGTTGGGGATTTAGCTCGCAAGCACAATGTCCCAAGTTCAATTCCCGGTACAAAAAAATGACATTTTAGGCCAGGCATGGTTGTACACCGCTGTAATCAGCTCTTGGGAGGCTGAGGCAGGAGGACTGCCATGAATTCAAAGCAAGACTAGACTACATAGTGAGTTCAAAGTCAGCCCAAACTACATAGCGAGACCATCTCAAAAATTAATTAATTAATTAATTAATTAAAATGACTTAAAAAAACTGAGGCCATTAAAAAAAATTGTTAAAGAAAAAAAAAATCATTGCTGAATATTTATGTAACACTAGAAAAAAAAATTGGGCTGGGGATTTAGCTCAGTGGTGCTGTCACCCACCTTGCAAGCATAATGACCTAAGTTCGACTTCCGGTACCAAAAAAAAAAAAAAAAAAAAAAAAAAAAAAAAAAAAAAAAAAAAAAATGAGGTCATGTCAATTTCACAGTGACTAGAAATCCTTTTGGGGATTTTTACAAAAGGCTCTCCTTAAGTATCTCCTGCCAACATTCTTTCTTCTTTCTCACACTGGAAGGAAATGGGCTGTGTGCCAGCTGGCTGCTGTGCTTCAGCCTACAGTGCCTCAGCAGTGCAGCTCAAGTGCCGGTGGAGTTAAGTGTTGTTGCATTTAGGAAAGTAGCACCTTTGACAAATGTGATTTCACTAGCTAAGAGGAATGATCACAACCAATTAGAACAGTAATAACATTATCACAATCCATGGACTTGTAATAACCTTCCTAGGGCACTTACCCTGGTAATAGTTTCCTCTTAAAGGTAACTCCAAACAATGAAACACTTACCTGGCTGATAGATGAGTCTTCCTCTGACTAGATATAATTATCATGTAACACTCCTAGTGACTCAGTATTTAAGGAAACTTACTTGACTCTTATTGCTCATTATATAACTTACACTGTTTCAATAGAAAAGATACTAAGTGGCTTTACTTAGTTGAAGTAGTTGATGAAGTATTTAATGTTTGTATCAACAATATTTTGATAAAAGTTTGAACCCAAGTTACCAGTTCAATCCCCAAAGTATTACTACCTCATGTACTGTGTATTTTACAAATCTAGACGATGTATTTTCCTTTATCTTTTCCAAAATTTAAATATAACAAAAAAAGTGGTCATAAAATGTGAGATTCTGACATGTTATTCATGACACTAGCAAAAGGCAGCAACATAAAAATACTGAAACAAACTGCTCTTTTTCAACTAACTGGTGTAAAAAATAAGTGTAAACTTGGAGAGAAGCTAAACTGCACTTCTGTAACCAAATTTTACATAATTACTAACAGCTTCTAGAACAGAAATTGATATATGGCTGTATACTTAAGATGAGGTCTTTTCTTAAAGCTCTATTTCTCAGGTTAATATGAACTAAGAAGTAACTTTCAGACAGGATTAGCTTGTGTGGGCTGTGAATGAACCCATCAGGCATCACACATTACTGGCATGCAGAGATTGAAGTGTGTGCCCACAGCATAACTTTTCTTGCTACAGTGAACTATACTACCATTTCCAATGTAACAGCTGCAAAGGCAGCTAGAAAATTCACTGGTTACATTACATATACCTGCAATATCATCACTGCTGGATATTTATCTTCCACATTAGAATCCACAATCGCTCAGTAGAGAATTAAGTTGCCCACCTAGTATGCAGGACACCGCTGACAAAGTGGCAGTTTGAGACACTGATGTTGCTCACCCAAGAGCTAGAGGAAATCAACTTTCTACCAAACATGTCAACGAACCCAGCTTTCTATCTAATGAAATGAGGGGCAAGTAAAAGAAGAATCTACACATATTAGGCTCATTTCCCTTTGGTGAATTTAGAACCTCTTTTTTAAGGTAAGTGAATCCAGGGCCAGGTATTTAGCTCAGTAGTTCTTCTGCCTGCCTCAAACCCACATGCAAGGTCCCTAGTTTGATCCTGGGTACCAAAAAAAAAAAAAAAAAAAAAAAAAAAAAAAAAAAAAAAAAAAAAAAAAAAAAAAAAAAAAAAAAAAAAAAAAAAAAAAAAAAAAAAAAAAAAAAAAAAAAAAAAAAGAGTTGAAAGACTTCCTACACTCCTATGCCTTACTGCCATTCTTCATGAGTTAACTATGTAAAAGTTGCATTAGTTTATATAAAGTAAAATTATACAGTATTCCAGAAGTGCACTAGGTCCCTGGACTGTTTCTCTCTGCACACGCACACACACTGTCTACCACTCTGTACATCTACTCAGTTTATTCTGACTTTCCTAGGCAGAGGTGCTACGACGTGACTTTCTCAAGTGTACACCTGAATTATCTTCCAGAATTTGCACACACCTTATATACAAATACTCAAAATATATGGCCTGAATTTTCTAAGGTCAGCATACATTGTCAATATAGTACATGGATTTCACAGCCCCAGCTACCTCTTCATTTATGCACCTTCCCAATGCCTACCTGATTGTATTTTCATCTGTTCAGATCTCTTCCACACTCAAAGAGATCATTTTCAAGCGACCCAACTTCAAGTATGGATCCTTCTGATCATCCTGCTCTCTTCTCACAGGAATCTCTCCTTTTCTCACCATCCAATCCTGTTCACCAGGATAACAAAGTAAGATGTAAGACTGCTGCCCAATATTACAGTAAAATGGACCATACATAGTCAAAAAAGATTACACCTAAGAAGTCCCAAAACATACTTATATCTGATATGGAATTCTTTCTGATATAGAATTCTATATGACACCTAAATTACTTTGTCTTTAACTTGCATTATCAAAATCCTAAAAGTTTTTCAAGAGATGTAGAGCCCAATCTACTCAATACCCTAACCATAGATAAGTCTTTTAAGTCTAGACATACATTAAGAGGAAAATTATGAAAGGGCTTGATTTAAAAAGTAAACCAAGACGGTGCTGGTGGTAGTGCACACCTGTAATCCCAGCATAGGGAAGGTGAGGCAGGAGGATCACTGTGAGTTCATGGGCTACATAGTGAGTTCAAGGCCAGCCTGAAATATATAGTGAGATGTCTCTAAAAAATTTTAAAAGCCAGATAACCAGATGAAGTGGTGCATGCCTGTAAACAGCACTGCAAGGCTGAGAAAGGAGGATTCCAAATTTGAGCCACATCTGGGCAATTTAGTGGTTTAAGAAAATACTACTTCAAAATAATAATAAAAAAAGGCTAGAGATATACTTAGTACAAAGGCGCTGGGGTTCAATCTGCAGAACTGAAATAACATAAAAAACATACAGATAAAAAAGGATATATTACCACAAAATGAGGTTAATAAGTGTCTATAGCAAAGCCTCAAAAAAATGGTAGCTACAGTTTATTTCTGTGCATGCTCACATTCTTCTGTCTTTTATCATGTTATATCAAGTTGTTTACAGACAGAATCAACTCAGAATAAGAACGATAGGCCATCCTTGCAGTAAGGGCAAGAACTTGAATTTTAAAATTTAAGATGTTTTAAATAAAGAATGCTCTAAGGGGCCAGAGATTTAGCTTAGTGGTTCTGCTGCCTGCCTTGCAAGGCACAAGGTCCCGCGTTCAATCTGGGGTACCAAAAAAAAAAAAAAAAAAAAAAGAATGCTAGAATGTTCTAGCCAGATATGGTGGCACATGCCTGTAATCCTAGCACTCAGGCAGCTGAAGCAGGAGAATTACCAAGTTTGAGGCTAGCCAGGGCTACACAGCAAGACCCTATCTCCAAAAAAAAACAAAAAGTTCTATTCATTTATTCACTTCAAGAGCATCTCTCTTCCCTTTTCTCTTGCTTTTTCTTTATGAGAATAATTGAAGTAATTTCTATTTTAGGAAAATCTTTCATCACACCTATTACTTTGCTATCAGCCTCACTACTGGATTCCCATAGCTCAAGTGATGGAGATGTTCTGGGAAAAGTTGCAAGGAGAGGGAAACTGGTGAGATTGTATTGGAAAAAATCGAAGAGGTCACGACACCATCCCTTGGCACTAAGCCTCTCAGACAAAAGCACCTCGGGTTATAAAGTAGCTCCAATACTCTTGGGTTTGAACCTATCCCAACAACATTCCATAATTTTTAATTCAAGAACACTTAAACATCCCACGCCTCACTGAAGCCTAGCATTCCACGCTTCAGGGTCCACATCTGGTTAAGAAATTCATTTTATCAGAGTGGGGTGAAGATCTTGTGCCGAGTGTGGAGGCGCAAGGCTGTAATCCCAGTATTTGGGAGGCTGGGTCAGGAGCATTGTCCCGGGCTCAAGGCCAGCCTGAACTACACAAGGTGATCCTGCCTTTAAAAAGGGGATGGGGGAACGATCTTAAAAACTGTGAATGAGGGAGAGGTCAGCTGAGGATGTTGAGAAGGGGCTGGAGGGACACCGAGTCTAAGGGAAGAAAGCGCTTGGGGAGGTTGGACAGGAAAGTGTCCTGCAGCGGGCAGTGACAGGAGGGAATCACCTAGAGTAAATCAGTGGGAGAAGAGAACATCAGCCCGGATAGCAGGAAATCCGGGTGCTAATCCCCGCTGCGGCGGCCGCCCCACCCAGCGAGGGTCGGGCCTCGCGG